TTATCTACGTGTCTGATATATGTAACTATATATATATACATAATATATATTATATATGTAGTGTATAATCGGAGGAGACGCCACCGGCAGATATAGCGATGATATAGAGACAGGGCTTTTCGCAGACAGGAGCAGTCGGTCAGGTAATCTCACCTTACCGTCACACTCACCTACCTGCAATCCTGCTATACCTGCTATCTCCATTGAGCGCAACCGCAAACACGCGGCCTGCAACTACTGATACCAATTCTATGAAAGGTCAACTCGATCTTTCTGCCGTTGTGGTGCATATATTAACACGAGAGAGAGAGAGAGAGGAAGAGAGAGATGAGAAGAGGGAGAGAGGAAGGGGGAGAGGGAGATGAGAGAGAAAGAGAGTAGGTAGAAGAGGAGGGAAGGGAGAGGGAGAGCAGAGGGAGAGGGAGATGAGAAGACGAGAGAGAGAGGGAGAGGGAGGGAGAGAGGAAGGGAGGAAGAGGGAGAGAGAGAGGGAGGGAGGGAGAAGGAGAGAGAGGAAGATAGAGGGAAAGAGGGAGGGAGGGAAGGGAGAGAGAGGGAGAGAGAGAGAGAGGGAGAAAGGGAGCGAGAGAGAGAGGGAAAATGAGGAGGAGGGAGAGAGAAAAGGAGAAGGAGAGGGAGGGAGGGAAAGAGGAAGAGAGAGAGGGAGGGAGAGGGAGATAGAAAGGGAGGGAGAGGGAGAGAAGAAGAGAGGGAAGGGAGGGGAGGGAGTGAGGCGGGCGAAGCGAGGGAGAGGAGAGAGGAGAGAAGAAGAGAGAGAAGAGAGAGGGAGGGAGCGAAGGGAGGAGAGAGAAGAGAGAGAGAGAGAGAGAGAGAGAGAGAGAGAAGAGAGAGAGGGAGAATAGAGAGGAAGAAGAGAGAGGGAGATGGAGGGAGGAGAGAGGAGAGGGACGGAGAGAAGAGAGAGGGAGAGAATGGATGAGACGGAGAGAGAGAGAGAGAGAGACGCAGAGAGAGAGAGAGAGAGAGAGAGAGAGAGAGAAAGAGAAGAGAGGAGAGAAGCAGAGAAGAAGAGAGAGAGAAAGAGAGAGGAGAGAAGAGAGAGAGAGAGAGAGAGAGAGAGAGAGAGAGAGGAGAGAGAGAGAGAAGAGAGAGAGAGAGAGAGAGAGAGAGAGACCTACAGAAGAGTCGGTCAGCAAATCTCCCAAAGAAACGTATTATGGTAGTTGTTTGAATAACGATAAACGTTCGAACAGTATGCACGTCAGCACGTGAGCAGTTATATGCTATCAAGAGTACATACCAGAGACATCTCTATTATGCACTCTTGATGCTATCAGGAGTAGATAATAGGGCCCTATTATCTACTCCTTGATGCTATGTAACTCACTAACATTATCAATAGTCAACGTTATGTAAACACGCGCTATGTAAACATGTAAACATATAAACTATAAAACACATGCTACCTGATAATATACTACACATATCATATACTGACAGTGTAGATAATGGGCTAATAACATATACTGTCAGCATATATATTGTATATATATATATATATAGTACCGCCATATATATAGCATCAGGAGTGCATAATATGGTGCTATATAATATATTATATATATATATATATTATTATATATCTATATATATAATAGTATCTATATTATACACTCCTGATAGTATGTTATCAGACAGTTAATCATAACGTCATCATATCTTATAAGAGAGCACGTAACAGCGAAAAGCAAACTCGGCCTTTTTTTGTTCATCACATAATACCATTGTTAACACATTCCACACTATAAACTACAGTATACAGGCATATAAACATACGCACATCGCAGAGGCGGATAGCATAAAGTTGATAATACTACACACTTTTGATATAATATATAATTGCTATTACACTTTTGATGTACGGATATAGAAACAATGCGATGGCTGAAGAGGAAACTGAGATCTGCCATGCTGACCCTTCTATTTACTCCCTAATCTCATCCCCCGCTCTCCGTTCCCCTTTCAAATCTTATCTCTGCTCTTCCCTTCCCTCTCAAATTCCATCCCTGTTCTCCTCTCTCCACTATCCCAGGAGTCATCCATCTCCCTTCCCTTCCACATCTCTTCCTCCTCCTCCTCCTCCTCCTCCTCCTCATCTTCCTACCAAGAGGTAGGAATCAACCGCCCTCCTCCCCTCTCACATCTCATCCTCAGTCTCCTCCTCCTCCTCCTCCTAGAGGCAGGAGTCATTCACACCCTCTCCCCTCCCACACCCCATTTTCCTCTTCCTCCACCTCCTCCTCACAGGAGTCAGAAGTCAGTCATTCCCTCCCCTCCCACCCCTCCCCCCTCCCGTAGTCTCGTTCGCGCGGGCGGCCATCTTAACTATCCCCGCAAGGCGACAGCCTTCACTCCACCTCCTTAATGACCTTCTTCTTCCGCGTAGACCCTCCCCCTCCCCCTCCCCCTCCCGCCGTCGCTGCGCCCTCCCCGGCTCCCCTCCCCCCTTTCTTCCGCGCAGACCCGCCCCCTCCCCCTCCCCCTCCCGCCGTCGCTTGCGCCCTCCCGACCCCCCTCCCCCCTTTCTTGCCAGCCCTTCTGTGTTGCGTTCGGGCCCTCCTTCGCGGTCGTCGACGAGCGTGCTTTCGCATGGTTTCTGCGCGCACTAACCGCCCCGCCGGCGTCGATCGGCTCGTAGATTGGCGCCGGAGCTGACGTGATCGGACAGGTGGCGCAACGAGGCGGCGTAGGCCGGGCGGGTCCGCGGGGGGCAGAGCGACGACTCGTCAGGGGCGTAGGCGCGACGGCTGTTCTCCGTACTGCTCGACGCTTCGCTGAACGGGAACGGCACCTGAGTTACCCTGCAGGCAAAGAGCAGAGAGAGGGTGTAGAGAGCTAGCGATAGATAATAGATAGAGATGAGAGGTAGAGGAGAGATAAGAGATGAAGGTGAGAAGCTGAGAGAGCGAGAGAGCGAGAAGACGAGAGACGAGAGAGCGAGAGAAAGAGGAATCTAGATATAATTATATAGAGAGAGAGCTGAGAGAAAGAGATGAGAGAGAGAGAGAGATGAGAGAGAGAGAGAGAGAGGGCGAGTAGATGTGTAGATTAAGCTAGCAGCACAACTCACATTTCGTTGCTCGTGACAGGTTTGCTAATTTTTCGTGGTCGGCAATTTTGTGGCCGTCCGCTCACAGCACACTTCACCACAACGTTGCACACGAGCAATTTTCGGTGCAGAAATCAAAACCGGTTGATTCTCGGCAACTCGTGGTCAGCCCACTAAATTTTCCGTGTGCAGTGGTCGTTGCCGGGCCCCTCGCACACTTGGCCATTTTGTGGCGACCACTGAAAATGCTGTACGAGAGCAACGAAAATGCGTGAAGCTGTGCTGCCTCGCTTTTAGAGCGAGAGAATGAGGAGAGAGAGAGAGAGGGGGATTGAGAGAGAAAGGAGAGAGAGAGGGGGGATGGAGGGAGAAATGGAGAGAGAAGAGAAGAGAGAGAGAGAGAGAGAAGAGAGAGAGAGAGAGAGAAGAGAGAGAGAGATGAGAGGTGAGAGGCTGAAGACGGAGGAGAGATGAGATAGATAGATAGATAGATAAAGAGAGAGAGGTGAGAGGTGAGAGGTGAGAGAGAGAGAGAAGATGGAGAGAGAGAGAGAAGAAGAGAGAGAGAGAGAGAGAGAGAGAGAGAGAGGAGAGAGAGAGAGAGGAAAGAGAGAGAGTGTGTAAGTTAGAGCCGATGAGGAAATAGGAGAGGAAGACAGAGAGGGGATTTGAGAGAGAAAGGAGAGAGAGAGGGGCGGATGAGAGAAATGGAGAGAGAAAAGAGAGAGAGAGATGAGAGAGAGAGAGGAGAGAGAGAGGATGAGAGAGAGAGAGAGAGAGAGAGAGAGAGAGAGGGGAGGTAGAACGAGAGGGTCCGGAGGAAGGAGCAAGGGAGAGTGTGTAGACTGTAGAGTGTGTGGTACCTCAACCTCAGATAAGAGAGTAGGAGAGTGAGAGATAGGGACACGGCTTGGGCAAATTGGATTACTACTAGAGCTGAAAGTGGGAGCAGGAGACAGAGAGCGAGAGCGTCAGCGAATCTTTGCCGAGTCAGCCTCAGCAACACGACACCCTCCTCTCTACATCGTCGTCGTCGAGAGAATCCGAGCAACGCCCCCGAGAAAGGAGACTGCGGATCGATGCTCGCAGCATCTCGGATCGCACGGGGCTTCGTCCGTAACGGAGGTCGGCGCCGGGAATGTGTGAGATGTGAGAGAGGCTGAACAATGTGTGAACGACTAACACGTTTGCATGGGGACGGAATCAACTATAGATAACTAACTACCAATGGTTACACTAATTACTAGAAACACTTAAATGATGAGGAGGGTCTAACGATTACACTTTAATTAAAATTTTTGATTAGGATGTAAGTAAGACATACGAAATTGTATTATTTCATTATTATTAATTTAATTATTGTTATTATTATCATCATTATTGTTATTATTATTATTATTATTATGCGGAAAGATACAGAGTCCACATTAGAACGAAATTGCATTGAAGAAAAGTCTGGAAATGTTTGACAAACGAGAGCCGACAGAAGCGGGGCACTTCTGCTACGTATGTGGGTATGCGGCAGAATGTGTGTGTGCGTGCGTGCGGGTGCGTGTGTGTGTATGCGTGCATGTGTGTGTGCGTGCGTGCGTGCATGTGTAGATGCGTGCATGCGTGCGTGAGGAGCGTCAGAGTGCGCGTGGATGCGTGAATGTGTGCGTGCGTGCGTGCGTGCGTGTGTGTGCGGATGCGTGCATGCGTGGGTGTGTGTGAGGAGCATCGGCGTGCGCGGGTGCGTATGTGTGAGGAGCGTCGGGTTGCGCGTGCATGTGTGCGTGCGTGCGTGCGTGTGTGCGTGCGTGCGCGGGTGCATATGTGTGAGGAGCGTCAGGGTGCGCGTGCATGTGTGCGTGCGTTCGTGCGTGCGCGGGTGCATATGTGTGAGGAGCGTCAGGGTGCGCGTGCATGCGTTCGTGCGTGCGTACGTGCGCAGGTGCGCAGGTGCGTATGTGTGAGGAGCGTCGCGGTGCGCGTGCGTACGTGCATGAATGCGTATGTGTGAGTAGCGTCAGGGTGCGTGTGCATGTGTGCATGCGTGCGTGCGCAGGTGCGTATGTGTGAGGAGCGTCGGGGTGCGCGTGCATGTGTGCGTGCGTGCGTGCGTGCGCAGGTGCGTATGTGTGAGGGGCGTCGGGGTGCGCGTGCATGTGTGCGTGCGTGCGTGCGTGCGGGGTGCGTATGTGTGAGGAGCGTCGGGGTGCGCGTGCATGTGTGTGTGCGTGCGTGCGCGGGTGCGTATGTGTGAGGAGCGTCGGGGTGCGCGTGCATGCGTGCGTGCGTGCGTCGGTGCGTATGTGTGAGGAGCGTCGGGGTGCGCGTACGTACCAGGTGCTTGGCTAGTCCGTGATTCTTCTGCTCGCTGACGATGACATTGACCATGTCCTTGTCGTGCCGCGGCACGGTAGGCGCAGCCTTAACAACGAACCTCCTACACGGACAGAAACAAGTGAACGTTTGTACAACATTGTACTCGAGTTTCACCTTATATACTACTACAACGGTGAACATATAAGCAAGAGCTAATACTAATACCATATAATACTATACATCTACATATACAATACATATAATACCATATAGTACTATAATAATGATTAGCTCTTGATATAACTAGAAACGAGCAGTTGTCGCCAACTACATGTATCACCCGTGATCTAGTATGAATGGAATATCTCTGTAAGGACGTAGAAGGCAGGTAAAGTTAAATAAGTCACAAAGACAAAGGTTTGTTATACAACTGGTGTGCCTCAGATGTGCAAGTATATGGAATCTGGTTACCCTAGGAGGCCGAAGAGGAAATGTAAGTCGACGGTGAAGGTCATTCTAAGGTCAAGGGCAGTGGTGGTTTTGGTATGCGACAGACCTTCTCCCCAAGATGTG